TCTTCTTCTTCTTCTTCTTCCTTCTCCTCAGCGGACTGGCTGCCGCAACACACCCTTTTACCCCCGTTCCTTCTGTGGGTGTAAATAAATTGTTACTATTGTTACTCGTATTTCGGTTGAAGTAAGATACAAGAAGAAACTCATGGCAATATCTTTCTCGGCCTTTTGGCTAAGATCAAGTGTAGTATCTGTTCTGATCAGTTTCAATATCTGATCTGTGTGCGAGGATCTGGGTCCTCGGCACGCTTAATGGCCCCCTGCTACAGATGTTCCCGCCCTAAGTGAAGGTGGGCCTAACAAATCTCGAGAGGCCCTCGGCTGTCAATTCCGTATTTGGGGTCCAGGCAGTTGTGACGCGCCAGTTGGTTGAGGGAAACACAGGCCGAGCAGCAAAGACATTCCACGGCCTTCCAGGCTTTTCCGGAAAATACAGGCCCTGGGCAAGAATTGCAGCCTCATACACAGACAGTTGGGAGGCCCAACCAAACGAGGCCCAGCAGCTGCATCGGAGGCACAGCCTCCTGGGGCCTACCGGAAGCTTCTGGGCAGAGGCCCAGGCCAGCCAGGCCGCCATAGGAGGCAGGCTCTTTCCATATAGGAAACAGCTCGCTGCCTGGGTTCTCATTCAGCACTTGCATCCTAGCGGCAGCGCTGATGGAGCGGGCGCTCGTGGGCTGCTGCTGACGCTGAGAGGCAAGGTGCAAGCATGTGCGGTCGTGTGTGAGTCAGGGCGCTGCTGAGGGCAGCGCCATAGCCCAGCCTCCATAGCTGGCTCGGGCTTGGTCTACAGTGAGGCGCAGAGGTGGTCTTCGGGTGTACAGAGGGAAGACGTGGGTGTAAGTCAAGGGGGAGAGAGAAGGATGATGATGATGATGATGATATCAGGGCACATACCTGGTATTGGCGATGGTCTACATTGGGCGACATCTTCAAGTACTTCGTGGGGCGCTGACGTCAACAGCTGCATTGTCAATTAGTAGGCAGACAGTAGCTGTGTAGGAAGTAGGCTGGGCGCCGAGTGCAAAGTAGGGAGAACGGCCTGGACACTTATGTTGGTGGTGGCGAGAGCTGCAATCAGACTCGCACTCATTCACACTTTTCATGCATGTAAACAGCAATGCAGCAAACTGGCGACATGCGCCCACTCGAAACTCAGAGATATAGCATCCAGATACGAGTTCACTCTCAACTAGCTATGGCGACTCAGCGCCCAAACAACTCACTGTTCACATACACTGGATCACCCTGGATATCCCACACACGTAACTCTGAACACTCACACATACACACACACACACTTCACTCTAACTACAGCTATGGCAGCTATGGCTGCCTCTACCCTATCGCTACGCTAAGCTCCTTCTCTCTCGCCCACTGCGTCCTCCGGGCTCACTGCAGACCTCCTTGCACAAGTCGCTGTGGCAGCGCTTCCGCATGGCTCACACAGGAATGAATGAATGGCTGGGCGCTGCCTCTTGATTTATACTTCGGAAACTCGTTGGTCTGCCCTTTGCCATCGGCCCATGGTGCTTACAGTCCACCATGGTACTTGCTGGACCAGACTGGGACTGACTGGACCTTACTGCTGACCGACTGTGGACTCGCTGCTACCCTACCGAGGTCGTACTGCGATTGCACTGCAGTTTAGTCCACCACTTGCCTCGCCACTTGACCACTTGCCCACTTGTCGACCTTCTAGAAGGACTACAGCTCGACTTCTGGAACTCGCTAAGACTTCTACTCTATAGATCTACTGATCGAACCCCTGCAACCTACGGACCTATGACAGACCTACCAACTGTCTACGAATACACAGGTCATAGGTTCAACACTCGGGTCTACACAGATACTGTACATGGGTAGGGTGAGGTCTAGGGATCGAACCCTGGGATCTGCTACTGCAAAAGGCGAAAACCGTTTCACTCCCACCGTCCTAAATTCGAGGTCCTCCGAGAGTATTTCAGTCCAAGGCAGGACCTTTACCCTTCTTATCACGCTCGTAGGCTCTGACTATGTCGGGAGCTGTTTCTAGAAGTTCTGTTCTTCTGGTACCTGATAAGCAAACCGGACCTTATATTGTTTCTGTGGACGACCTCTACCTCGTGTTCTGAAGACATCTTCATCTACAATGCCGTCAATGTCATAGCTTCCATCCATATCCGGGGGGATCATGGATCTTCTTGAAGGGAACTGTTGACTTGTGACACACGCCAACAGCTTTGAAGCGTGGAACACAGGATATGTGTGGAGGTGTACTGGAATCTCTATAGTGTAGGACGGTCCATCCTCTCCGCCCTTGACTTCTAGAACCGGCCACGGTCCTCTATATGCAGGCAGTAACTTCTGCGAGATGTTTTCCTCAGGTGCAAACTCTTTAGCCTTGACTCAGACTAAGTCGCCTACCTGAAACTGCGACGGGCGACGGTGCTTATTAGTCTGTTCGATCATTCTATGTTGGGCCTTCCTGAGGTTCTCTACAACTGTTGCTAGCTCTTTCTCGTGGTGTATCGCAAACTCCCTGGTACCGGGCGGTAGTCTGTGAATCTGATCCCGGTTCAGTCCTTCGAATGGTCTGCGCGGCCTGAAGGACTTGTGCATCTCATTGGGAGTGCGACAGGTGGATAGATGCACACTGTTGTTGTACGCGCTAGCTACCTTGGGCAACATCTCGTCCCAGTCAGGTTTAATGTACATGCGCAGAACTTGCTGTAGGATCTTATTCATCTGTTCAGTCTGACCGTTAGTCTCTAGATGGCGGCCAGACGACATCAACAACTTAGATCCGTAGACTCTCATGAGTTCTTGCCAGTTCTGGCTGGTGAAACGACTATCTCTATCGCTAACTATTGACAATGGGATTCCATTCTCACTAACCCAAAAGTAAAAAAACTTCCGTATAACTAAGTCTGTACGCGCCTCTGCAGGCAAAGGGACAAAAACAACATACTTGCTAAAACGGTCAACTGCGACCATGATTTGGCTCTTACCATGTCTACTCTTGACTTGGGTGTTCATGAAGTCTATGGACACTGAGTCTCCCGGCTGATCCGGAATAGGCAAGGGTCTGAGAAGACCTAGGGGCGCGCGTGTAGTAGACTTATTCCTCTGGCACACTTTACAACTGCGGACATACTCTATGCAGTCATTCTTCATCCCTGGCCAGGTGTATGCACGCATCAGATTGGCTAATGTCTTTTGCCAACCAAAATGCCCTTCAGTATCGTGGCATTCCCCTAGAATCAGACTGCGGATCTCTTCGCTATTGGGAACGCACAGGCGGTCAAATACGTTAGTCTTCTCAAACAGTAATCCGTCTGTAGTGCGGTAATCTGGCTCGATCTCTGGGGCCTCTCTAACTCTCTTTAGGAGGTCGCTCTAGATAGGGTCCTGCACATACACTTGCTTTACTTCCTCCTGCAGGTCTCTTCCTATATCCAGATAGTGTACTATGGCTCCAAAGTAGTCTGATCTCCTACTTACAGCATCCGCAACTACGTTGTACTTGCCCTTCACTGGCTTAAGCTCAAAGTCACATTGGTCTATCTCTGCGGCCCACCTAGTCAACTTAGGTGTCATCTTGGCTTGAGTCTTTAACCATCTAAGGGTCTCATGGTCGGAATACACTTTGAAGTGCCTCCCAAGCAGATAATGCTTCCAGTGATCTAGAGCCTGCCTGAGAGCGTAGAGTTCTCTCTCTTACGTGGAGGTAGCAACCTTCTCAGAGGGCATCCTCGCTGACATGAACTCTACGGGTCTATAGCCATTGTCGTCATCCTGCTGCAACACGGCGCCTATTCCATACTGACTTGCGTCCGTGGTGACGACAAATGGCAAGGATGGATCTGCTACTTTGAGGACAGGGTATATTAACGTGCGCTTTAGTCTCTTTAGCGCAGACGTACAATCTTTGTCCCATTGCCAGATTGCCTCTTTCTTAAGCAATCTGCGCAGGGGAGCGGCGATAGTAGAAAAGTTCCTCACGAACTTTCTATAATAGTTAGCTAGGCCTAGGAACGACCGCAATTCTGTCAATGTGCGGGGCGTCGGACAGTCTCTAATCGCCTCGATCTTGCTGTCCTCTGGCTTAATTCCATCTCAGTCTAGTACGTGGCCCGAGTACAGGACTTGTGTCTTGGCCCACTCACACTTCTTCGCGTTGATCTTGAAGTTAGCCTCTCCTAGCTTCTCCAAGACCTGCCTCAGATGACCCTGGTGCTCCTGGAGGGTCTTACTAAAAACTAAGATATCATCTAAGTAGACTACCAGGAACTTGTCTAACCATGGTCTAAACAGGTCATTCATACAACGCTGAAAGGTCGCTGACGCGTTGGTTACTCCAAAGGGCATCACTATAAACTCATAGTGCCCATAACGAGTCCGGAACGCAGTCTTGTATTGGTCATCAGGATGGACATCTATCTGATGATAACCGGACTTCACGTCTATCTTGGAGAAATACTTACAACCCTGCACCCGATCTAGGAAATCGTCTATTCTGGGCAGCGGCTCAGCATTCTTCACGGTGATAGCATTCAAACCCCTATAGTCTATACACGTTCTCAGCTCTCCTTCCTTCTTGGGGACAAACAAAACTGGTGCTCTAAAAGGAGACGAACTGAGCCTGATCCAACCTTTCTCAAGGAATTCGTCTAACTGCTTGCGAAGCTCCTCTAACTCTCTAGGGGACATCCTGTAGGCTGCTCCCTTAGGAGTTCTACTACCAGGCTCTATCTCTATCCTGTGCTGGATGGGTCGCCGCACTACTCCTGTCGGCGACTCAGTTATGTCTTTGAACTCTTCCAACAGCTTGGCTATGGTTGGATCTGTGGAAGTCACTTCTTCCTTAGCCTCAGTGGCAGGTCTAACATAAACTACAAAGACCTGGTCTTCCAACTGCTCCTTCTTTACTAGTCGCGCAAACGTGGGATCACTGAGACAGGAGTGTGCCAAGGTGTTATCTACACCTGACACATGAAACAGGCGGGCAATCTTAACCTCACCTGAAGGACTAGGGAGCCTACACTCATGCTCTCTCAAATGGAGTGTGGCCCCTCCTGCCTCTCCCCAATCCATTCCTAATACTACATCGAAAGGAAGGTCATCCTGTACGAGGAGAGTCAGGCAATGGAGAACTTTCTCCACCTTCCCATCTTTCTCTAGGCGAAAGTACGCCTGGACTCCGTCTACGTAGTCCTCAACACGCATCGTGCGGTTGTCTGCGAGGACACTGACTATGGGGTCTGCTATTCTGGACTTTCAATCCTAGCCTTAACTTTTTCAGCGCCCTACGGTTAATATAACTGCGCGTGGCCCCTGAGTCTATAAGGGCCCCTACTCTACTCCTGAAAACTTCTACATCTACCAAAATCAGTTGTTCTTTACTCTCTTTCTTCATCTTGGCCCAGGTTGGCATCCTCTCCTTTAACTCTTCTGCCACACCTGTGAGGGACGTGCCTAAGGAGACGCTAACACAGGCGGTCTCTGGACAGCTAGCTAGGCACGGGCCTGCAACCTCTGCCATAGGCTCATGTGGGTTGGGAGTGTATTGTTCGCGCGCACTCACTTCTCCACATGGCCTTAAAGTAGGGACAGTTGCGACCCCTACTGGCGGATGCCTTTTGACTGTTGGGCAGCCCAACGGGCCTGTCTATACTTTGGACAAAATTTTATTACGTGGGTTGGGTCACCACAAAACACGCACTGACCTAAGTTCACGCGTTCCTGCCATAACCCCTGGTCCAAGCCCAAGTCCTCCCAGGGCCTGCCCTGTGGCAAGCCTGGGTGCAATCCTCCTTGAGGTGCCCTTCCACCTCTTCGCTGCAGGGACCAATTTGAACCTTGGCGATTTGGCGGGGGGGCTTGACCCCTACCTCCCACTTGGCGGTTTCCCTGTCCGCCAACCCCTTGTGCGCCCGGTCCTCGGCCTCCCATGGCCTGGCCCCTTTGGCCCTGGCCTCCTCCTCTACCTTGCGGCCTCCCTCCAGCCGCGACAACAGCATAAGGCCTCCCCTGTCCCACACCACAGTCCTCCTCCTCTAGGCCCCACTCAATCTGACTGTATGGGACCTCAACAGTACCACCTTCCTCTAACGTAAGGATCATGTGATCCTTGGCCCTCACCTGGCCTGAGATGGTACGGCCTTTCCACTTTTTTCCCTTATCTAAGTCCCTGTGCCAGAAAGTGGTAACTGGCATGGACTTCGACTCATACAGGACGACTTCTCTACTCAATGCATCATAAGTGATGTCGGCCTGTTGAGACTTGTCAAAGAAATGCCCACGTAGGGTCTCTGGCATGGCACTATAAAATAACTGGACCAACTGGGTCTCAGTGACCCCATGGTCCGGGACGGCTACCAAGTCGTCCATGGTACCCTTGAGTCCCCTGGCACTCCGCCACTGTCGTGAGTGGATCGTTTGCATCTTATCAGAGGCGCAAACGCCTCTCGTTGGGTCTGCAAACCGCTCCTTCAGGAGCTTGAGGAATTGAGAAAGGGGGGTGACTTTTGAATATGCAACCAGGTTGTCTTCACAACCGGCTGCACGCGCAAGGGACCTGGCAAAACTAGCCGCCTCATCCTTAAGGGCCTCGAAGGCCACAAGGACTTGTTCTTCTATCAGGATGCGCTGCATATATATATAACTATTGACACTGGCTTCCCAGTTGTCAAAGTTCTCTTCCTTCTTCCCTCCATAAGCATCCGGGAATTTAAGCTTAACTGGGTCCTTGCGAGGTCTGGCCTCGCCTTCTACAACGGCTATGGCTTTGGCGCCCTCGATAGCGCCCTCACAGAATTTCCCTACGTTGTCCCTAAGTTGCCTGACTTCACCCCCAATATGGGTGACGATCTCGCGCGCAAAGTCTCTAAACCTCGACCGCATGCCACTCAAAGCTACGTCTTGGCTCCAACTGGCCTGGCGCTCCTCCATCCAGGTTTTGCTCAACACCTCTAAGTACCCCAATACCTTATCCCACTTGGCCTTATCATCTGGCTGGGCCAACACCTCCTACCTGCACTCCTACACCTTTGCCACCTCTGCGGTCAGTTTATTGACTTCCTCTCTCCTCCTCTTCTTCTCCCTCTTCATCCTCAACTTCCATGCCAATTTCTGCTCCTCCCTTTCTCGTCGTTCCATAGCATCTGTCATTGCTGCTAGCTCACTGGCTAGCGCATCCCTCTCATCTTGAGTGACATACGACTCCGCCTCATCGTCTTCTCCCAACGATAAATTAGCAACCCACTCACTTATTCTCTTCTCCATCTCTGCGTCTGTACTTCCCTCTCTACTCTCAATTCGTATTCTCTCTTTTTCTTCTTCTGCTGCCGCTTCTTCAGCAGCCTTCTTCTTTTTCTCCATCTCCGCATGTTCCTCTGCAATCGCCTTTAACTTCGCTTGCTTCTCGCGCTCTTTTCTCTCCCTATTCTCCTTAACTAAGGCGACCATCTATTCTTGCTGCTGCTTGGTGTAAGGGCTAGTGTCCTTCCCACTGCGGGTCTCAACCATGGTGAAAGGTGCACAACCGGGTGGCGACTCTAACCCCTGACTGACAGATCTACTGACTCAATCTAAGGACTCACAAAATCTGGACAAGGATCTTGTCAACTATGGTCTCTAGCCTAAACCTACACTATGGTTGTCACTACTAGACTTGTTGCTGATCAGGAGGCATTTAAGGAGATCCCCCGAACTCCTCAGGAATTATTTAACGTCGCAGACAGGACGACGCGATCAGCAGGTCTCTCAAGACTTAGACGGTCTGTTGTGCAGCGCACAGCTCGGATTTCGAGGTCTACCGTGCCACACCGAGCAGCCCGCCGGTCAGTACCGGTCCTTGGGAGGGTTTGACCTCCGGGACAGTCGAGTTGTCAGACACAACTTTTAGCCCTACTCATCCCGTGTGGGTTTGGTCAACAAGACCCTATCCTTCAGCCACAGGGTGCTATCACCTAGGACAGAAGACACTCRATGCAGAAAGAATAGACAGACAGACTGGACTCAACAAGTACCAAGGGGTGTGTGCACATCCATAGAGCCAGGGATAGGTTGAGGGCTTGGTGAGATGTTACCGACTCCAGCTTGGTCAACTCGTGGTCAACGGTCTTGGTCAACGTCGGTCAACGCTGCTATAGCACCCGGTCAACCTCCGGTCGACTCCCTTAACTTCCGGTCAACACCCCCGATCAGCCCTCTCGGTCAACCCTCCGGTCAGCTATGGCTGTCGGCTCCTCTTCTTCGCCAACCCTCTTCTTCCTCTCACCTTCCTCACCTCCTTCCACCCCGGCTGTCTTCTTCCTCTCTTTCTTTTTTTTCTTTTTTTTTTATCGGCCTTCTCTCCACCTCTCGGCTATGGCCGCTTTCTCTCCCTTCTCGGTCTGTCTCCTTCCGTCCGGTCTCTCTCCCTCCTTTACTACTCCGTGGTGATGGTCCGCAGCTATGGCCGCTTCTTCTTCCTCCACATGGAACTGCACAGCTCGCTTCACAGGTATGTGACAACCAAACTTGTATCGCTCATCTCTCTCTCTCTCTCTCTCTCTCTCTCTCTCTCTCTCTCTCGCCGTAGCGGTATCTTCAGCGGAGCAGGTACCTAGTAACCCAATCTTGTATCGCTCAACCTCTCTCTCTCTCTCTCTCTAGGTCTTCGTCTTCGTCCTGGTCTTCATGCAGGTGCGTGGCAGTTTCTCCAACCTCAGGTCCGCTATGGCGGACTACAACCTTTGGCGACCACCTCTGCTATGGCGCATCACGCCCTGCATACGACGGCGCGCATGGAATAGCGGGTACCAGCTCTAATACCAATGCAATCAGACTCGTACTCATTCACACTTTTCATGCATGTAAACAGCAACGCAGCAAACTGGCGACATGCGGCCACTCGAAACTCAGAGATATAGCATCCAGATATGAGTTCACTCTCAACTGGCTTTGGCGACTCAACGCCCAAACAACTCACTGTTCACATACACTGGATCACCCTGGATATCCCACACGCGTAACTCTGAACACTCGCACATACAAACACACACACTTCACTCTAACTACAGCTATGGCAGCTATGGCTGCCTCTACCCTATCGCTACGCTAAGCTCCTTCTCTCTCGCCCACTGCGTCCTTCGGGCTCACTGCAGACCTCCTTGCACAAGTCGCTGTGGCAGCGCTTCCGCATGGCTCACGCAGGAATGAATGAATGGCTAGGCGCTGCCTCTTGATTTATACTTCGGAAACTCGTTGGTCTGCCCTTTGCCATCTGCCCATGGTGCTTACCCCCATGGTACTTGCTGGACCGGACTGGGACTGACTGGACCTTACCGCTGACTGACTGTGGACTCGCTGCTACCCTACCGAGGTCGTACTGCGATTGCACTGCAGTTTAGTCCACCACTTGCCTCGCCACTTGACCACTTGCCCACTTGTCGACCTTCTAGAAGGACTACAGCTAGACTTCTGGAACTCGCTAAGACTTCTACTCTATAGATTTACAGATCGAACCCCTGCTACCTACAGACCTATGACAGACCTACCAACTGTCTACGAATACACAGGTCATAGGTTCAACTCTCGGGTCTACACAGATACTGTACATGGGTAGGGTGAGGTCTAGGGATCGAACCCTGGGATCTGCTACTGCAAAAGGTGAAAACCGTTTCAGAGCAAGCGCTCATTGACATTTGGTTTTCCGTGTTACCATTCTCCATTGGTGTTATATTGGTGCAAATTCCGTGCAATGCCGCTTTCTGGACAGTGTCATACTCTCTAGCTTTCAATGTGATCTGTCTCTTATACACATCTAGATGTGTATAAGAGACAGATGCCGCTTTCTGGACAGTGTCATACTCTCTAGCTTTCAATGTGATTGTGCAGTCTGGATATTGTCATCTCACTATTGCTCATTTTCCTTGCACGTGGTCCATCGGACCAATTAAAAAAAAAAAAAAAAAAAAAAAAAGGTAACTCATGCTTGCCTGTAAAAAAAGTAACGGGAATGTCGGCCCCCAAAAAAAAAGGGGCATGGGAAAAAAAAAAAAAAAAAAAAAAAGATACAACAAGGCTTAGTAAGCCAAAAATCAGTCACCAGAACCCCTCCGGTGTCACATCTCAGAGCAATCTTTTCTTTTTCCCATCTCTGTAAAAGCCCAAATGGTCGTGGTATGGTCTGGAGAGGGGAGAGGGGGGGGGGGAAGAAGAAGACGAGACCAGAAGGAATAACCCAGGTAAGTGGGACTTCGAACCCTGGTTAGCAACTTAGCACTAAACATAGAGAAGTCCCACTTGTTCATTAAAGCGGCGATACACAGAAAATCCATACGTCAAGCGAAGAAAGGCAAACTCCCCACCCACAAAACCTGCCATCTTCAGCCGAATAGAACACCCGGTCATTATCGCTGTATCTAGACAGAAAGCTGGCCTTAAACCGCACTCTCACAGGTGCCGTGCGGTGTGGGGTGCCGTTCAATAAAAAAATCGGCGGCCTCCTAAGTGATGCGGGTTTCATGCTGACACCAGCGGGCTGATGTGTGGTGTACTGTTTTTTTTTGAAAAAAAAGAAGATTTAAAACAAGAGGAATGTATATCGAAATTAGTACTATTTACATGGATGTAGGCCTGTCTCTTATACACATCTAGATGTGTATAAGAGACAGCTGCATCCTCTGGGCTCATCTGCAGACCGCCTTGCACAAGTCGCTGTGGCAGCGCTTCCGCATGGCTCACGCAGGAATGAATGAATGGCTAGGCGCTGCCTCTTGATTTATACTTCGGAAACTCNTTTTTTTTTTAAGCCCAGGGTGTTGTGGAGGCCAAGGACCAGACCCGCGGTGATTGCTGGTAGCGGCAGCCAATGGTTGTACTGACAGGATAGGCCACCTACCCTACCCATCCCCACGTTAATACTCCCAGCGCACTCCCTGTCCCTACTATTCTACCTCAGTGTGACCAGCACTCAGGACCATCACCCTACCAGTATCGAGGGCAACTTGGACCAGGCAGCAGTGACAAGCACCAAGGCTGGGCCAACCTCCCAGCCCTGATGGAAGCGGAAGCGGACGAACCTTGCCGTACGGGAACTTCGGACGCCAGGCTCATGCAATCTTCTACCGGCCCAATTCAGAGAGTCTACCCAGCAGGATTACCTAAGCAAGGCAGGCCAGCGCCCGCGGACACATCCTACCGTCCTTCCCCTAGCTTACCCAAGGCTAGGCAGAACTCAGACTAGCCGGAGCGACTTATATACCTACCCCTACCCTAGAGCTAAGCCATGCGTGAGTAGACCCCGTCATATACCTGATAGACCCCCCCAGCCCAGTATCATAGTTGTGTGTATGTGTGTGTGCCCAGAGGCTATGTATGTTTGTATGAGCCCATAGGGCCATGTGTTTTTGTATCTTCCCGAAGGCTATGTGTGCTCTGTGTAACTGTATAGCAAGATGTATGTGGCCGAAGGCCAGATCTGTGCAGTCTATGTGTGCTCTGTGTAACTGTATAGCGAGATGTATGTGCCCGAAGGCCAGATATGTGCAGTACTATGTTGAGGGAACTATGTGTTCGTTTGAAGAGATGACAGGCCAAGCTGGACAAGAACCCCCCCCCAAACTCCCAAGCCAGACTCGAACCCGTTATCTATGGCATCTGACCTGAAGACTCTACCATTTGGGCAACAATCGCAAACGGCCCCTGTGTGCGATATGCCCGACTGGGGAGATCAACAGAACAACCACGAGCAACAGCCACAACCACCCCATGCAGTATCAATGGGGAGACCAACAGAACAACCACGAGCAACAGCCACAACCACCCCATGCAGTATCAATGGGGAGACCAACGGAACAACCACGAGCAACAGCCACAAGCAACCCATGCAGCATCAAGGCCCGACATACAACACCATGGACAACCCTTGGGTGGTGTGCAGGCAGTGTCTGTATAAGCTTACCGTGCTTCAACCCAAGGGAATGTGTGTCCGGCCGTGCGTCATTCTAACACCTTGCCGGTGTCCATGTGCAAGACTGCAATTGAGTTTTGAACCCACAACCTCGTACCACAATGCGCATTTCCAACCGGTGCTCTAACCACTGAGCTGTACTGGTGCTTTAATACATCTATATTGCTGAGGCGTACTATTTGGGTGAAGACTGTAATACGGGTGAAGACCAGCACGACCCCTGCACAAGGTTGACAGATGCCAATTGATTGACACGGCCCAGTACAAAATAAAATAAAAATAATGCAATAATTATAATAATAATCATCATCATCATCATCATAATAAATTAATAATAATAATAATAATAATAATAATAATAATAATAATAATAATAATTAACTATATTAAATAAAGAAATAAATAAAATAAAATAACTTATGAAGCACAGAATCAGGCACAGTCTAAGGAAGCGGAGGTCGAATTTTCCTACAACACAAAATGCAACTCAAGTTACTCAACTCTCAGCTTGGTACAAGCAGCACGTAGGTTATGGAATGTCGTGGTGCCATAGCCGAGTGGTAGCCAATGACTGCATGATTGGTGGCTGAACTCTGATACATATTACTCTCTCTGGCATTCATTGGCGACCACATGGCTCAGGACACAGGACCTGGCAGTGGTGCTACGTTCGTGCTTAGAAAGCGTAATATGCACCTGGCTGTGAAACTAGCCAGATTCGTGCTAGCAGCACAGATATAGCAGCAGACAGTCCTGAGCTTTAAACCACCAGTACATCCAGCTATCGGCAGCGGGCCCTTTTTGGAGGCCGCCCGTCGTCGATTCAATTTATCCACGGCGCCGGGCCTCCGAAATTTTCGTAGGCGACGAGTTTTCTTTTCGGCAAGGCTGCAGTCATGTACTGGCGCTTTAAGAGTACATAGTACATACATATATTACATAATACATACATAGTACATACATAGTACAGACACGCTCACTCACCAGACAGGCCGGGGCTTTAAATGACCAGTAGACATGGGCCTGGAGGCGCTCCACTGCGCGCCAAGCTTTGCCCAGCGGCTAGCGGTGCACTTTTTTTCCATTTTGGCTGGTGCAGCCAGCCATTGTGGTCCGGTAGGCCCGAGGCACAAAATTTTAGGAGTAGGCGACGGGGCTTTTCCAGCAAGGCTGGGGTCATGTACTGGCGGTTTGAGGGTACATGCTACATAGTACCACATACATAGTGCAGGCATGCTCACTCACCTGAAACCTTTCGGACTTGACCGGGTTTGATAGTAGCTTTATCGCCACCTCGCCGTGGTCCTTCAGAGATCCCCTGTATACGACAGCCTTCCCGCTCGAACCGACGATCTTGGTGAAGTTTAAGGCCGCTTTGCTGAGACCAGGCTGTGAGAGAAGGCGCACAGAACTTTGGGAGAAGGTGCCTGTGTTTGGACTTGAGGCTGTACCAGCTAATCATGAATCACCACAACAAACAAGCAGTACGGAGCACAGCACAAACAAGTTGGCAATAAATAAATAAATAAATAAATATTAAAGATAAATAAAAGAATATAAATGGTTTATAAAGTGAAAATTTGTGACATACCCCTGAAAGTTCTCGTATATGCTAAAATACTCCTAAAAAATGTTGGTAGGGCGGAATACCCCTCTGAAAACTCAGAGGTTTAAATCTTTCCAGTCGGGGATTTACGCAAGCTTGCGTCATATATACCCCTGTCAGGGGCAGAACACAAACTTGCGCACCCCTCCTTGACAGGGGTATAATGCGAACGATTCGTCCACCAAAATGTCCTGGATCTTCTTTTCACCCCGCGCAAGAACTCGTGTTTTGACTCAAAAAACAAAAACAAAAAGAGGCCCAATTGGAGAGTGCCCCTCCTCCTCCTCCTGCCTCCCCTGCGCCCGACCCTTCGATTTTTATGGCGTGTTTACCGTTACGAGTTTCAAGGGGGGGGGGGGGGGGGGGGGGGGTAGCACTGGTGGTTACAAACTGTGTGCCCATTAATTACTGAGGCCTGAACCGTATCACATGCACGAATGTTTATCCCTGGCCTCGTATTGACAATCCCCTTGACTCTGTTCTAGGTTCCTAAATGTTTTCAAACGTCGACTTCAAGTTTGCTTATCACCACATTGAAATCAGAATGCAGATCAGAATACAAGTGCGTCCAAACATGCAATGGGCTTTATGAGTTCATGCCAACTTCATGTGTACGCCCTTCAGTATCGCTAATGCACCAGCCACGTTTTAGAATCTCGCGGATGAAGCGTTCCGGAACGGCAGGATTGGCTCCGGAAGTTTGCGGTCGGCTATCTCGATGACATCCCGATTCTCAGCAGATCCATGAAAGAACACAGAGAACTCCTGATAACAGCCTAGAAATTTTACGCGAGGAGAAACCGCAGCTGAACTTAGGAGAAATTTGACTTGCAAGAAAACAATTGTCATCTACCTTGGGCATCAGACTTCTGGAAGAAATAGGAACAGTGTCTGAGAAAAAGGACTGAAAGTTTACCCAAGGAGAAACTGAACCTGACCTTGGAGAAAATTTGACTTGTGACACGAGAGGGTCATCTACCTTGGGCATCAGATTTCTGAAGGAGGCCTCTCGCAATCACCGATTGTCCCCACTCAGAAGTATAGGAAGTACTAGTGACTTACTTTTACTCCCAACGAACTGCGGATAAGATGGAGGATTAGAAGTTCAATCGATTTCCTTCTTCTCAAACAATCAACAGGATGCACTCCTAGCATGACCGGTTTTGATTTTGAGGTACTTAACGAACGTTGTCGCCATCAGGCGCAAACAATTAGGAATTTAGGAGCCTTACGATGAAACATGCGAATAGGAGAGCAAGACGGTGATCTGGTTTCCATGAAAATGTTAGTTGTGGGCGATGCAAACATTGTTGTCAAAGCACCAGCACGTCCCAAAGTCACGGCTTGTTAACGGACGCGACATTCCAGATGAACGCACCTGCACTGCTAGTATAAACTCAGCCAAGTGGAAACGTCACCGCTTTTTCTTTTGGCTGGCCGTTAAGCCACTCGTACCTTTGCCGAGTGGGAAAATAGCGGGCCTCGGGTGGGCCTCCGACCTTTTAGTAGGCCGAAACGAAGCGAAAGCCGCTGATCAGATTTATCAATGGCAGTCATCGCCGGGCCCACCCTCGGATTTTTTACGAGTTCGGGAAAACTACCAGTTTTCCCTATTTTCCCAACACTGGGGGAGGTACTACCGTCTTCACCCGAATAGAACACCCGGTCATTATCGCTGCATCTGGACTGAAAGTTGGGCCAAATGGAGCTATAATGACCGGGTGTGTTACGGACTTCGCCAGGGCTCGATCCCTGGTCTATCTTTTTGCTGTTTCAGCTGCATCCCGTTTTCGGCCTGGCGCCCTTTTTCCAAACTCCTCCTTTGGTACCGTAGGATTTCGGACAACTGGCGCCATGCTGCAATTCGGGCGCCACTTTCAAATACTGCATTTTTCAGTGTTGCCCTCGGGGGCCTTTGCAGAAATGCCCCTCGTACCGTACGTGTCACCGGTACTTATACCGGCTCCCCGTACGGTACGGGGGCAGTCTCGTACCAGTTCTCTGCGGCTGTACTCGTACTCAGTGTGACTTGTTGTTTCGGCATTCGGAATCCAAGACTTCGACTTTGTGCCTTGCCACTGTGTCTGCGTCCGACCCTCAGTCCGAGTCCGTCATGTCGAGTGAGTGAGTGTGTGTGTGTGCTCTCACTCTCCCCCTCTCTCTCCTCTCCTTCGGCTCACCCTCAGCCTCACGCTCGTTACACTGGTATCGGAGCCGTTCGAACCCGCCCAACCCACCCTACTTCGACAACGTCACCGGCCATCATCAACATCATCGTCGAGGTCGTCGTTGCCGTGCCATGTCATCATCGTCATCATCGCGATCGTCGTCATTGTGCCCCGTCATCATCGTCATCGACGGGATCGCCGCCGT